GATACAGTTGACCGGCTCTCCCTTAACAAAATCTTTCTTCCATGGGTTTCTGAACACATTCCTATTTTTTTCTCCTACATTCCTTCTCAATCTCATTTAATGAAGTTATTCTTTGATCAAGTTGTCATTTATAAAATATTCTATCTGACAATAGCAGAATGCACATTCTTCTTAAGTTCGTATAGAGGTTCACCAAGATAGACCACATTTTCTACTATAAAATGCATGTTAACAAATTTTAAAGCATACAAAGTATGTTCTCAGAATAAGGTAGAGTTAAACTAAATATCAATAACAGAATGATTGCTACCCTGGCCAGTTTGGCTCAGCGGTTAGAGTGTTGACCAGTGGATTGAAGGGTCGTGGGTTTGACTCCGAGTCAAGGGCATGTACCTGGGTTGCAGGTTTGAGCCCCAGTCCCAGTCAGGGTTGTGTGGGAGGCAACCAGTAAATGTGTCTCCCTTACATGGATGTTTCTCTCTCTCTCTTTCTCCCCTTCCTCCCTTTCAGTCTGTCTAAAAAAATCAATGGAAAAATACTGTCAGGTGAAGATTAACAAAATAAAAAAAATAAAAAGCTGCTGAAAAATCTGCAAATATTTGAAACAAATAATATACTTATATAAACCCATGGTTTTATGTAAGAAGAAGTCTTAAGAGAAAATTTTAAATAGAAAAAAAAAAGTACAAAATTAAAAATTTTGAGAGGGGAAGGGAGAGGGAGAGAGAGAGAAACGTCAATGAGCGAGAACATCAATTGGCCACCTCCTGCATGTCCCCAATGCGGATTTGGCCCACAAACTGGGCTTGTGCCCTGACTTGGATTTCAACTGGCGACCCTTTCATGTGTGGGTTGACACCAACCACTGAGCCACACCAGCTGGGCACAAAATTAAAAATTTTAAAACACTAGAAATAAAAAATGAAAATGCAACTTGCAGATTTTTGTGAGATGCTATGAGGTAGGGCTTAGATGAAAATTTATATCATTAAATAAATATATTATAAAAGAAATATCTGAAGTCAATAACCTAAAGTTCCCTTAGTTAACTAGAGAAAAGAGATTAATTTAAACCTAAAAGAAACAGAAGACAATAAATAATATATATCTAAGAGCAGAAATAAATAAAATTAAAAAATAAGAAAACAAAGAAAATCAAGAAAACCAAAAGCTTTGAAAATATTAATAAAATTTATCAAGCTCTAATCAGGCTAAAAAAAAAAGAGAAAAGACAGAAATTGCCAATATCAGATATAAAAAATTTTATGGCATTAAAAAGATAACATAGGAATACCACAATAACTTTATTGCCACAAATTTGATAGATAAAATGAGCCACTTCCTGGAAGTATACAAATTACCAAAACTCACACAAAAAGAAGTAGATAAATTGAATAGTTCACTTCTATTAAATGAATTGAATCAATAATTAATAACCTTATAAAACAGAAACAAGGCCATATGATTTCACTGGTGAATTCTGGAAAAATGTAAGAAAGATATAATACCAAATCTTTACAATCTCTTAAAAGAAATGGAAATCAGAGAGCATATTTAATAACTCATTCTATGAGCCACAGTTAATACTGAAAGCAGATAAAGACATTAAATGAAAGTAAAAGCACAGACCAAAGAAAATCCTCAACTGAACATGATCAAATTTAATAAAAAGATCTACAAAATGAAAAAGTGGGTTTTATTTCAGTTATAAAAAGCAGATACAACATTCAAAAATCAATAAATATAATTTATTATGTCAACAAGCTTAAGAAAAAAAGCATATGATCACGTCAACTGACCCATAAAAGTATGTGACAAAATCCAATGCCTACTAATGACAAACACTCTGAGCAAATAGAAGAGAATTTCCTCAACTTGATAAAGAATGTGCCTACAAAACAAAAGCTACTGCTAACATCATATTTCACGATAAGAGACAAAATACTTCCCCCTTTATGATCAGGAACAAGGCAAGGATGTCAACTTTTATTTTTCACATTCAATATTGTATTGGGTGTTCTAGCTCATGAAAGAAGACAAGAACAAAAACCAAGAGAAATACAGATTAGAAAAGAAGAAACATCAGTGAGAGAGAACGTTGATTGGCCGACTTCTTCATGCCCCCCCATTGGGGATTGGGCCCACAACTTGGGCATGTATGCTAACCAGGAATAGAACTGGTAATCTCTTGGTGCATGGGTCAGTGCTCAGCCAGTGAGCCACACCAGCCAGTCAGTAAAAAATTTTTATATACAACACTAAAAGTACTATGCATGAAATAAATTAGTTGGATTAAATTTAAATAAAAAACTTCTGCTCCACTAAAAACACATCTAAGAGAATGAAAAGACGAGCCAGAGGCTAGTAAAAAATATTTGCACAACACATATCTGATAAAATGGACTTATATTCAAAATGTACAAAGAACTCAATACTTCACAATAAGAAAAAAAAAAGTCATTTGAAAATTTGACAAAAGATCTGAAAAGATACTATCAAAGAAAATGCACAGCTGAATATTTAGCACATGAAAAGGTACTCAAACATGAATTGTACTTAGGGAAGTGTAAATTAAAACAAGGAACTACCACTGGACACCTATTAGAGTGCTGAATTAAAAAACAACAAGTGGTAATACTAGTTGCTGGTGAGTTTGGGGAGCAATGGGAACTCTCATTAATTGTTGGTGGAAATGCAAAATGGTATAGTTACTTTGAAGGCAGTTTGGCAACTTCTTTCAAAACTAAACATACTCGATCATATGATCCATCAACTACCCTTTTATTTACCTAACTGATTTGAAAATTTCTATCCCCACAAAAAAGCCTGCACATGCATGTTTAGAACAGAATTATTCAAAATTGCTCCAAACTGGAAGCAGCCAAGATATCTTTCAATAGGTGAATGGATAAGAAAACTGTGGTACACTCATATGATGGAAAGAGTAGAAAAAGGAATTATCTATCCAGCCACAAAAGTATACAGATAAATCTCAGATACAAATTTCATATTGGAAAAAAAACCAATCTGAAAAAAATGATATTAGATATAATTTCATCTACATGACATTTGGGTATAAGACAAAACTGGAAAGAAGGTAAACATTGTCAGGATTTGTGAGTTGGGTTGAAAAATAAAACAAAGGGGACTTTTTTAGGGCAGGGAAGCTATTTTGTGTAATACTATAATGGATTCATGACATTATGCTTTAGTCAAAACTTCATGGCAGACTGAGCCTTAATGTATGCAAATAAAAGTAATTTTGAAGGCTATGGAACCCCAGGGTGTAATGTAAAAACTTCCAGAAGAATCTGAATATATTGTAAATGTATGAAATGGCCTCCCTGAAGGGTATGGGGTCAAGTTTGCTAATCTAAGCAACCTTAGAAATGAGTAGTCTTAATTTGTAAGACTGACGACAAAGGGAAGTGTATATAATTACTATAACTAATAAAATAATTTTTTACAAGGTGTGGGATAACAATTCTGAAACCACTAAATACGTACACTGGGATTGAACAATTATGTGAATGAATGGTGATGGTATTAGACATGTTTCTCACTCTAGGAGTAGAAGAGCATAGAAATACAAGGGAGAAGGTTAGCATGATCCATGTTGTAATGTACAGAGGGTAGGCAAAAGTAGGTTTACAGTTGTCCATCTAGAAAAACCATACAAGTAAATAACCAGCCATTGTTACCTAAAAGATAAATCATACGTACTCACAACTGCAAACCTAGTTTTGTGCACCCCTGTATTGGAGTCGGAGACATTAATATAAACTTGTGGAGCCAACTAAAAGCATTTCCAATGGCTGAAGTTGGAACAACGTTAGCAATTAAACGAATAAAATAGTATTGAATTATAACTCCAAATATAACATAAATATAAATGAGTTTATAGTGAAACAAATGATTTAATAAATAAATAATTTAATAAATAAATGGGAGACTAGACAAATATCCCTTGCAGAAGAATTCTAAATACTTTGTCCTCAAAGAGATGAAGCATGCCCAGCCGGTGTGGCTCAGTGGTTGATCGTCGACCCGTGCACCAGGAGGTCACCAGTTTGATTCCCAGTCAGGGCACATGCTCAGGTTGTGGGCCAAATCCCCAATGGGGAGCATGCAGGAGATGGCCAATCGATGTTCTCTCTCTCTCTCCCCCTTTCTCTCTAAAATCAATTAAAAAAAAAAGATGGAGTATAACTCTTGATGTAAGTGTGAGCTGCACAATTTGACTTCCTGTCAAAGAGGACAGTATGGAAATGGAGACAAGGGTAACTTTACAGTAGATAAAACCTAACAAATACTACCACAGTAAAGTGGTTGAAGTTAACATCCTATCAGTAGTGATAAGCCATGTTGATAGTATGTACCATTCCTAAAATGTGATAATGTCAATTTATTTCTGTCATCTTCCATTGAAAACCTATAACCCAAGTACAATGATGAGAAAAGTATTAGACTACCCCCATATGGTAACAGATCACAAAATATCTGGCCAACATTCCTCAAAATTTCAAAAGTTATCAAAAACAAGCCAAAAGTGAAACACTGTAGCAGCCAAGAGGTTTCCTGAGGAGACCTGAGGACTAAATGTATTGTGATATCCTGAATAGGATTTTTAATAGAAAACGGCATTAAGTAAAAACTAAGAAAAATATATGATGTAAAAAGTGAATACAAAGTAAATGGACTTTAGTTAATAATAATGTATCAATGTTGATTTATTAATTTTGACAAATGTACCATACTAATGTAACATAATATTAGGGAAAGTTGGGTTTGGGGTACATGGCAATTTATTTAGAAATCTAAAGATTTTTATAATTTATAAATTTAATTTATTTATAAATCTATAATTATTCTAAAAGAAATTTAGAATGAAGCTTCCCTCACTTTAACCACATCCTTTGTGGCTTTAGAGCCAGCCTTCTGTTTTATTTCAATGCCACTGTTCTAACACAGAAACTCTGCTTTTGTGAGGTGATATCTCTCTTTACATTGAATTCAAAGATGGATTATTCTATTTACAGGCTGTTTGGACAGGAGCAAAACACAGAGAGATCAACCATGCAGAAGCTGAGGAAACATCCCTATCATTGTCAACACAAGTGGACATGCAGAGGTAGGAATCCATAACTCTCCATTAGACCACAGATTGTAGAGGTAGGATTTTTTGTGGGTCTTTTAATGAGAACTTTTAAGAACTTGAACTAGAGTTTATTATTCAAATAATTCATTATCTTAATTTGAAGTAATGTGCTTACATAGATGTTTCTGCACTGGATTGTATGGTCTGCTATCTCTGTAAAAACATCTAGCACACTTTCTGGCATGTAGTTATATGTTTAGAAATACTATGGGATATAATAGATCAGATTTGACTTGACTGTGTTAAAGATTGTGAAAGTGTTATAATGCTTATTTTATTGAAGCAAAGTATAAATTGTAAACGTTAACATCCGAGTTTTGTTTCATAAATTAATATAAATATAAAACTTGTATTTCAAACAGGTTTTGGGAAGGTGACTACAATACTCAATTTTATTTATGTTTCTCCATTAGATATTCATTTTTACTCTTATTCGATTATTTTGGTACCACTTATATTTTACCTTCCTGTGCCTTAATCCTACTTAATATTATCTGTGTAATTCAATCAAGATGCAAGTGAAGGTACAATACAAATTTTAGTAGAAATGTTTTGACTAATCAATTGATCAGTGAATATTCACTCACTTGTTGTAGAAATGTTAGTTTTGGAACAGAATTGTTAACATAAAAAGGATAATCAAATAAAATATATGACCTTTTATTTAGAGTCAATAAACCTGATTCTTTTTTTTAATTTAAACTTATCTTTATTGTTAAATGTATTACAGATGTTCCTCTTTTTTCCCCACTGACCCCCTCTACCCCACTTCTGCCCCTCCCCCGCCTTTCCCCACACTGCTGTCTGTGTCCATTGGTTATGCATATATGCATATAAGTTCTTTGGTTTATTTCTTCTCACCCCCCAGTCCCCCTTCCCTTGGAGGATTGTCAGTCTAGCAATTAATCTCTACTTCTTAATCCCTTCACCTTTTTCACCCATTCCCCCCCAAACCCCCTCCCATCTGGCCACCAACAAAATGTTCTCTGTATCTATGAAAATGTTTCTGTTCTGCTTGTTCATTTTGTTTGTAGATTCAATTGTTGATAGATATGTATTCATCGACATTTTGTTTGTTCATATTTTTTAATCTTTTTCTTCAAGAAGACCCTTCAACATTTAATATAATAATGGTTTGGTGGTGATGAACTCCTTTAGCTTTTCCTTGTCTGGGAAGCTCTTTATATGGCCATAAATTCTGAATGACAGCTTTGCAGGATAGAGTAATCTTGGTTGTAGGTTCTTGCTTTTCATCACTCTGAATATTTCTTGCCACTCTCTTCTGGCCTGCAAAGTTTCTTTTGAGAAATCAGCTGACAGTCTTATGGCAACTCTCTTGTAGGTAACTAACTGCTTTTCTCTTGCTGCTTTTAAGATTCTCTCTTTGTCTTGAACCTTCTGCATTTTGATGATGATGTGTCTTGGTGTGGGCCTCTTGGGGTTCATCTTGTTTGGGACTCTCTGTGCTTCCTGGACTTGTGTATTTGTTTCCTTTTCCAAGTTAGGAGACTTTTCTGCCATTATTGTTTCAAATAGGTTTTCGATTTCTTGTCCTCTCTCTTCTCCTTCTGGCAACCCCAAGATGCAAATGTTGTCATGCTTGAAGTTGTCCCAGAGGCTCCTTACACTATCCTCATTTTTTTGGATTCTTTTTTCTTTTTGCTGTTCTGGTTGGGTGTTTTTTGCTTCCTCATATTTCAAGTCAATGGTTTGCTTCTTGGCTTTACCTACTCTACTATTGACTCTGTGTAAATTATTCTTTATTTCAGTTAGTGCCTCCTTCATTTCTAACTGTGCATCCTTCATTCCTGAATAGTCCCTTTTTAAGCTCTTGAGGCCCTCACTAAGTTCACTGAGGTTCTCACTAAGTTCATTGAGCATCCTTATTAGCAGTGTTTTGAACTCAACATCTGTTAGGTTGCTTATCTCCATTTCGCTTAGTTCTGTTCCCAGAATTTTGTTCTGTTCTTTCATTTGTGACCTGTTTCTTTGTCTCCTCATTTTGGCTGCCTCCCTGTGTTTGTTTCTATGTATTACTTAACGAGAGGTATGGGACTAGCTGAGACCAGATGCTGCTTGTTTGAAAGAATTTAGGAAAACCTGAAGCAGGATCCAAGACAGGCTAATCCTATGGTCAAGCAACTGGCAACAGCTTAGGTGGGCCTGAAAGTTGGGTGGGGCACGGCCTCAGGGAGTCACCAGGGTGAGGCAAACATTTTGAGCCAGGTGGCTGGAGTCCCAGATATGGCGGCTGTCTGCCACCCCAGGGAAGGGTTCACCAAAGGAACAAAGCCTCTGACAGCACATCTGTCCAGGAGAAAGCCCCCTCCTCTCCAGCCCTCGCTTCAATGTCTAACAGCTCAGTTCTTTGCTGTATGTCTCTGGCGCCCCTCAAGCTGCTTCCCCTCTGAGCTTAGAGGGAGAGAGTCCGAGTAAGTTCCTGCGCAGGCCCTTTAAGGAACTGCCTAGGGCTCCAGCTGCCTCAGCCTCCCTGAGCCTCAGTATCCACTGGTTTTTCCAGCCAGAAGTTATGGGACTTCTTTTCCTGGCACTGGAACCCTGAGCTGGGTGCCTGGTGTGGGACGGGGACCCCTCAGTCCTCAGGGAGGACCTTCCCAGCTGAGGAATTCTCATGATTTTTATCCGCCACACGTGGGTGTGGGACCAGCCCGTCGCACCTCTGACAGTCCCCATGTAGCAGCTTCATTAATTCCGTAGCTGTAGGACTTCCACTCAGCTTGATTTCAGGCGGCTTTGAATGATGGTTGTTCTGTAGTTTATTTGTAACTTTGATGTGGTTGTGGGAGGATGTGATACCGCGTTTACCTACGCCGCCATCTTCAATAAATCTGATTCTTTAAGGATAATTAAATATATGTTCATGTCAAGGTAATTTACACAGAGATTGTAGATTTCTTCCCCCACCTTCAGATAATGCGTACCCTCAAAATTTTCATTTCTATGACATATTTTTGAGTTCATTATAAATGTCAAAATATTTCAGAAATAAAAATTAATCATTGCAGATTATCCTGAGTGCCCAAAGTGGCATAAGACTGCCCTGAGACTGGCCAGCATTGCACTGCTTACACTCATTGCTGCAGTGATAGGACTGACCATTTGGAGTAAGTACATTGAAAGCTATGTATTCAACTGTAGAGATTAACATATTTCCTTTGGAGTTCACCTTGATTTCTCTAACATTTTGAAAATAATTTTCCACATTTGCTTGATGACGTTTTACTTTATTATTTTAGTTATGTTGGTAATAAATGACACAGTTAACAATATCATTAATAATTATTAGTTTTTCCCTATACAGAGGAGGCAATAAACTAATTTATAAAATCTATTCTGCTCATAATTTTACTAAATTGGTAAATAGTGTGGGCTTAGTAGTCATAATTCTATGAATTGAAGTTTGAAGTTTTATATTTTGGTAGAATTACTTAGTTCCATGAAAGTTGATTTGGCCCTTATAAAAAACTTTCAAAAGCTTATTGGCCTTTTGGCTAATCAAATGTAAAAAAAAAGTTTGGACTCTATGCCCTCGCTGGTGTTACTCGGTGGATAGAGCATCAGCTCATGCACCAAAGGGTCAGGGGTTTGATTCCCCATCAAGGGCATGTACCTTTGTTGCAGGTTCAATTCCCGGTGTGGGAGGCAACCAATTGGTGTGTCTCTCTCATGCTGATTTCTCTCTCTCCCTTTCCCTCTGTCATTTCTACTCTCTCTAAAAAAATCAATGCTGTCTACAAGAGAACCACTTCAAAATGAATGGTACACACAGACTAAATGTAAAGGGATAGAAAAAGATAACTCATTCAAATGTAAATGAAAAAAAAGCTGGAATAGCAATACTTATATCTGACAAAATAGACCTTAAAAGAAAGACTATAATAAAAGACAAAGAAGGACTCTACACAGTGATAAAGGGAGTAACCCAACAAGAGGGTATAACCCTTGTAAACGTTTATGCAACCAACATAGGAGCACCTAAATATATTAGGCAAATCTTGATGAACATAAAGAGAGAGATTGACAGTAATATAGTCAAGTAGGGGACTTGAACACCCTAATGACATCAATAGAGTGATCTTACGGACAGAAAACAACAACAACAACAACAACAACAAAGCAATAAAAGCCTTAAATGATACACTAGAGCAGATGGATTTAATTGATATCTTTATAGCATTTCATACCAAAGCAGCAGAATATACATTCTTTTCAAGTGCACATGCAACATTTTCTAGGATAGACCTTAAAGACTTAAATGTTAGACTCAAAGCCACAAAAATCCTAGAAGAAAACATAGGCAGTAACATTTCAGACATTTCTTATAGCAATATTTTTTCTCATATATCTCCTTGGGCAAGGGAAACAGAAAAAATAAAATAAACAGTTGAGACTACATCAAACTAAAAAGTTTTTGCCCAGCAAAGGAAACCATCAACAAAATGAAAGATAGCCCACTGAATGGGAGAACATATTCACCAATGATACATCTCATAAGGGGCTAATATCCAAAATTTATAAAGAACTTATACAACTCAACACCAAACAAAACAAACAATCCATTAAAAAATGGGCAAAGCTGTCTACCTGCTCTCTCTCTATGAGTCTGTTTTTATTTTTCTTGGTAGTTCACTTTGTTCATTAAGTTCCACACATGAGTGAAATCATATGGTTCTTGTCTTTCTCTGACAGGCTTATTTCACTTAGCATAATGTTCTCCAGGCACACAGCTCTAGTGGCTGGGGGTGGTGGGGGGTGGTGGAGGGATTGGGCAACAAAGAAAAAAAAGAGAAAACTCAGGGACATGGGCAACAATGTGGCGATTGCAGGGGTGGGGGTGCAGGTGGAAGAGGGCAGAGAGGGGATAAATTGTGATGGAAAAAAAAAAAATAAGCAAAGGCTGTGAATAGACAACTCTCCCAAGAGGACATACAGAGGGCCAAGAGACATATGAAAAGATGCTCAATAACACTAATCATAAGGAAAATTCAAATTAAAACCACAATGAGATATCATCTTACACCTGTCAGAATGGCTTTTATCAATAAATCAAACAAGTGTTAATGAAAATGTAGAGAAATGGGAACCCTTTTGTGTACTGTGCAGATTGGTGTAGCCACTCCGGAAAGCAATATGGAGTTACCCGAAAAAGTTAAAAATGAAACTGACTTATGATCAATGATTCTACTTCTGGGAATATATCTGTAGAAACCCAAAACACTAATTTGAAAGAATAAAAGTACCCCTATGTTCATTGCAGCATTGTTTACAATAGCCAAGATACAGAAGCAGTCTAAGTACACATCAATAGATGAGTGGATAAAAAAAATCAGTGGAAATCTTACCTTTTGAGACAGCATGGATGGACCTGGAGAATATTAAGCTAAGTGAAATAAGCCAATCAGGGAAAGACAAATATCATATGATTTTACATATATGTGTAATCTAATGAACAAAATAAACTAACAAACAAAATAGAAACAAACACATAAATATAAAGCACAGACTGACAGCTGTCAGAGGGAGACATTAGGGGCCTGGTGATAAAAGTGAAGGCATTAAGCAAAAAAAAAAAAAACAACCCTCATAGACAGACAATAGTATGGCTATTACCAGAGAAAAACAGGAGGTAGGAGACCATAAAGGGGGGATAAATGGTGATGGAAGGAGATTTGACTTGGGGTGGTGAATACATGATACAATATACAGATGATGTATTGTAGAATTGTATTCCTGAAACCTATATAATTTTATTAACCAATGTCACCCCAATAAATTCAATGAAAAGAGATATTTTTCTTAAATAAGCTCTACATTAATAAGATATGTATAATTATATCTGTTATTATTTCTGTTTGTTGTGATCTTCTACATGTTAGGAGTTTGGATACACATTTTTATACATCATCTTTTAGCCCTACAAGAACTCTAAGTTTGTTAAGCATTCCCCCTTTTTATATATGAAGGAACTGAGAAACAGAGCATCTTCATAACCAGTTCCAGATCACAAAGAATTCTAACCTATCATAGTGAACAGATGCACATGTAAATATATTTTAACCTTACTTAGATATTTGTTTTATTTGTTTCTACTTACTTTTTTATAAGTAGAAATCTATCTGTAAGTTACCTGTCCTTTGTCAAATTAGAGGGTTGAAATGCTATAAACAACAGTTTGTGCGTTCACTTACAGTTCCATTTGAATGGATAAATAAAAGGTACAGTGTTATAGTTGTACAAATCTAATTGGCATTACTCCTTTTCTTTATTTTAGTAAGTCGCCCAAACATACATTCCTTCAGTGATAATCACAGCGTGAAGATGTTTGGTAATGAGAATGGAGCCAGAGATTGCGATTGTATGAATACTCTTCCCAGGCAAATACTGGGCACTACAAACTTCACAAGTAAGTGATTTTGTGATTTTATTTCATTATGTTGTAGGGGAGAAAAATCTTTCCCTCTGCTCTGTGAAGTTTCAAACCTGAGGGACTGTGAATAAAACTGACAAAAGAACAATTTACAGAAGAAAAAAGTTTATGTGCACACCAGAAATAACAAAAGTGATATGCTAATATATCTAATTTAGGACAGAAAAGGAGGAGTAAGTAAGAAATGACTTCCATGGGAAAACACTTTTCTTTAGAAAAGGCAAGTTCTTTCTTTTTGAAAGAACAAACTTGAGAAAGTTTGTGACAGTGTCTGTTTATGCAAGTGAAAATAGTTTTTCCCTCTTCTTCATGGCTATACAATCCCCCCAGAGAGAGGGCTTATGGTGAGTTTGCTCTCAGTCTTTTCCTGAGAATGAATCACCCCAAAAACAAATTTATGGCAGCCTCATTTCTCAGAATTTTTGCATTGAGTCAGGTAAGAGTAATTCAGAGGAGCATCTGCTGAATCTCAAATGTCTTCAGCTTCAAATAATTCTTATACCAAAATGAAATATTTGCATCTGGTATATTCAGATACTCTTCAGTATTTTGAAGATGATTTTTTAAATTTCAGTTCTTTTCCTCCAATCCTGCTTCCAGTTAATCTGTTCAGGCTCACTGCTCACATGTGCTGGTGAGTGTAGGAGGTGAAGTGTGGGTTAATGATGATATGACAATAGTTACTTGATGACAGTAGAGTCATAGTCCTCAAATATCGATTTGATTTGATAGAAAGTAATCTAGATAATATATTAAATCAAGCTTACGAATACATTAAAGGGCCTGGCCAGTGTGGCTCACTGGTTGAGCATCGACCCATGCGCCATGACATAAGGTCATTGGTTTGATTTCTGGTCAGGGCAAATGCCTAGGTTGTGGGTCCAGTCCCCAGTGGGGGGGGAGGGGCGTGCAGGAGGTGGCCAATCGATGTTTTCTCTTATCAATGTTTCTATCTTTTTCTTCCTCTCCCTTCCTCTTTCTCTAAAATCAATAAATAAAAACTATTAAAAAAAACATACATTAAAGGTTAGAATGTAATAGCTGCATGAACATTTAAAACGAAATCAATTTTTCAGGAAATTGTGCATAGAAACTTAAGGAACAAGTTCATTGTCTTCCATCGTTCGAGATGATTTGGTGGAAAACTGTGAGGTGCATTGGCATACAATAGTGTTGTTGATATAATTGCCCTTTACTCTACTACCCAAGGACATTATACTAGCATTTTAAAGTGCCTATTTCTATCCATTAGATGCCACATCTGTACTTTAATAATCACTGTTTTGGGACTTATTATTCGTCTTAATGTGTGATAGAATGTTTTAGATCATTCTTTGGAAATTATAATGTCAAAGATTTAATTGTAAGATATTTGGAGATCACAATGTTTCATGAAGAAGGGAGTTTTTAGTAGATACCTATTTTTTCTCAATGCTGTAGCCATCAGGATCTTTGTAAAATGCAGATCAGGGCCAGGACATACTGAGAGAGACATACTGAGGACATTACCGAAGACATACTGAGAGAGAGAGAGAGAGAGACAGAGACAGAGACAGAGACAGAGACAGAGACAGAGACAGAGATTTGTTGCCTTCCATACATACCCCGACTGGGGATCAATCCCCCGCAACCCAGGTATGTGTCCTGAACCGGAAATTGAACCAGCAATCTTTCAGTGCGTGGGAAGACAACCAACAGAGCCACTCTAGTCTGCCATGGGCTTCTTTATTGCTGTAGTATGTGAAATTCAGGCAAATAAAAGGAAGAGTATAGTGAATAATGCATGTTTTATTGTAGAGGCTAAGTGCTGTCATCGCAAAGGGCGTATAACAAGAAACCCCCGAATAAGCATGAGAGTTTAAAGTCATTTATTTTTGTCAATAATTTATGATACTGCATATCAGCAAAACTAAAATTTTTCTTTAGCTTTTATGTCAAATATTGTTGGATAATTTTCCTGGGCAATGCAGATAAAGCCTAGTTTATTAATACACGACTTCAATGACCACTTTGTTGTTATTACTTATAGAATAAAATATCTTGGAAAGACAGTTGTAAAGAATCAGAATACTTTGCCAATTAAAAACAAAAACTTAATATGTAATTTTTTCCGAAATAATACAATTTCTCACACAGTCTCTCAAAAAGCTTCTATAGTCCCTAATGGTAACAACTAACTTTTGTAAAGTATCTTATAGTTTATATTTTCATAAGATACTATAAAGTTTCTTATAGTTTATAAACATATCAGATAAGTTTTTATACAAATTAGTAGATATTTTAAAAATAATATGAAATATTTAAGATATAAAATTTTAATAGAATACATACCTACTGTTCAGCTTTTAATATAAAAAATTGTTAGTTCAGTTGATACCTGTATATGCTCATTTCTGAGTATAGGTTTATTTTAATGTCTATTTCAAGTTTTTCCTTTTTACAAAGATGAGTCTGGTGGCCATTGAGTCATATAGATGCTGGGGTCGTGTTGAACACTTTGCTTTACAAAGTTTCTAATACAGTGTTTTATGAAATGCATTCTTCTGCATTTGAAAAGGACTCTGAAAATGGGGACTCTTTTTATTCCCCCCACAGCAGTTTCTTCTGATGCCATTCAGGCAATCTATTTTACTTTGAATTTCCCTATGTCCTACCACTTACTAGTTATATGATCTTGAATAAGTCACTTAACCTTTAGTTTTTCAGTTTATTCTTTACTTAACCTTAACCTTAGTGTCTTTATTTAGAAAATACAGAACATGGAATTAATAATTTCAGGGGCTTCATAAGTTTCTTATAAGAAAAAACATTTCACATATTCATGTGCATAAAAAATTTAGAAAATTGGCATGTAGTAATGACTCAAGTAACAATAAATATTTCTTGTATTTATCTCTTCTAAAGACTATCAATCAGCAGAAGTGGAGTTTATTTCTTAAAAGTGGGAAAATATTTACTTTTAAGGAAACAGTTATCATAATTAGTGTAAAAACTGTTTGTTTGTTTGTTTTTTTGATATTCAAACCTTGTTCTCATTCTTACTTCTTCCTATTTTTTCATTTCAGCAAACCCTAGACTAAACTTATGCCCTAAAGACTGGGTGCAGGAGAAAGGGAAATGCTATAACTTTTTTAAAACTTTTAAATCATGGATTGATAGCCAAATATTCTGTTTACAAATGAAAGCACATCTCTTGATGATCCAAGACACGGTTGAACTGGTAAGAACTAATTTACTATGAAAATTAGCCTTTTCAAAACTGAAAGAAATAGGTATATTTTACAATCCAAGAATTATAGTACTAATAATTACTGCCATTTATTGATTTCCTGCCATATGGTAGGCATGTTACAAATGTTATATAAGTTAGTGCTCACAATAACCTATGCCATAGGTGGTATTTTCCCCTTTTTCATAAGAAGAATCTACAGAACTTGACAATGTATGTATACTTGTCTATTTTACCCCCTAAGTAAATTGTAAAGCTAGGATAACCTATGCCATCCTTCCACATTACTTCTTGGAGAGAAAGATAGAAACTCTTTGAGGTACTCTCAAAAGCATTACCAATATATGGCAATATTCCTAGTATCTTGGGTAGGAAGTACAGGTTCTTCCACTTGAGTTGTGAGAAGTTTCACCATAGGCACCAGTTTCTACAAGGCTGCATTTTGGTAGACAAAGCAATCCATACATAGCTGTTGCTCCTTTAGGCAGTCTTATTCATTCCTATTTTTGCTTCACATCTTCCTCGCACCCTTCTTAAGAGTTTCCTGCATAGGGAGATACATATCAAAACCTTTTAAAGCCTGGAAAAGAGTCAGAAGAGTCTGTTTTGAGAGGTATAACTCAGTTGATTTCCTCTGGATCCCCTTTTACAGGATTTCATACAAAATAGTATACAAGATGGAATCTACTATTGGATTGGATTGAACATTACACACCCACAAAAAACATGGACCTGGCTGGATGGCACCCCATTAAATCCACAGTTGTGAGTGTTTGTCATTTGAGTACCATTGAGGAAATATAAAAGCTCAGCAGCCAATCCCTACGAGGGTGTTCCTGAAACTCTTAGATAGATAATTGATTCTTACAGATTGAAGACTCTGATCTTTGTTAATGTGTGTGTAGGAAATTTTTCCTTAGAGAAATGAAGGCCCAAAGGTAAGTTATTTTTATATTTGGACTTTGTTTCAGTATACCTATAATGCTAGAGATATAAATAGAATGTTGTAGTCAATATAAAATTCTCTATATTTAAATTCTCATAAAATGTTTCTTAAAGGTTTCTAGAATAATCCTTATTTTGGTGAGTAGGAGGATTCTAATGCATAATACAAGAGGTTATTTGACTCTTAAAATTCTGTTACCTCAATAAATAATATCGGTACTTGTTATATACACCTCAAGCATTTCTGCTTAAATTCCATGGGTGAAAGCACTGAATCTTTGGGGGATTATTTACCAATCTTCCCAAAATACAGGCAGAAGGTCCAGGGGGGAGGATTCAAGGTAACATTTTCTAATCTCAGTATCAAGTTTCTAGGAATGATCAAAAGTTAAACTTCTTGATTAAAATTTTAATTTTGATTTTTAAAATTAAAATTTTTATTTTTGTGGTGGCTTTCAAAGAGGTGTGAAGTTAACAAAAAACAAGTAAGAAGACATGCAGACGTGCTGGAGTGATATAGCAGGCACATGGGGCTAGCTGAGGGGCAGTAAAAAATGCTCTGAAACAGAAAGTCATTCTATAAATGAACATTATTACTCAGAGACTATTTACAATATTTCTTTATAAATTTACACTTTATAACCACCAATGCCATATTCTCTGCACACCATAAGCACTAAATTAATTTAAACCTTTCATCTACAATTATTTCTAATAGAAATCTTATAACCATGTTTTTAAAGTTATGTCTCTCAGCTTACTTGCAAACTTTACTTAGAGTTCTTAATTTCTAAGCTGCTTTAAAATTGAGATTAAAAAACATTTTTTTAGGAGCCTTGTGACTTATTTGTCTAAGACATAAAACATTAATTTAAACATCATGGAGAAACAGAATTAAAAGGGTGTGTTAAGGGTGAAGGATTTGAGTACCCATGTGTACACATATACACAGACATTTTCTTGTTGAGATATCTGTGTGAGATTAAAAAATTTAAAAGGAGAGAGGCTATCTCCCCTATTTTTCCTCTAACTCTTACTTCTTCTTCTGATCCTATCTGGGCTACTGTTGCCATCTTCAGCATGTGAAATCTAGATGTACCAAAGAGCACTCTTTCTTAAGATATTATATTGCAAGGAGGCTCATTATATACAAAGAGTGAGGAAAGATTTTTGAAAGGTGTGCCATTTGGGATTTAAGTCTGGAAGATGAAAAGGTTAATAGCTTGATTTATTTTATAGACAACTGGTTTAATATTTTTGAAAACCACATATATTTTTGGATGTGCTGATACTTCTAAACCTTGAAATAGTAAATATGATGTCTTATGCTGTAGAATTGGTATCATTCAATTATTGCAGATATTCAAAAGATTGAATCAGAAATTTTTGAAGTAACAAAGTGAATTTTTCTCCAAAAATGACAGGATTGGACACATAAATGTTTGGGCTGCTATAACAAAATACCACAGACTGGGTAGTTTATAAACCTCAGAAATTCATTTTTCACAGTTCTAGAGGGTGGGAGTCCAAGGTCAAGCTGTTGCCATGGTCATGCTTTGATGAGGGCTCATTTCCGGTTTGCAGCTGGAGCCTTCTGACCACATCTTCACAGGTAGAAGGGGCTGGGAACCTCTCTGTACTCTCTTTTGTAAGGAACATATCCCATTCCTGAGAGTGTCACCCCGTGACCTAATCACCCTCAAAAGCCCCACCTGCTGATGCTATCACATTGGGTATTAGGATTTTAACATATACATTTGGGGAAACACATAAGTTCAGACCATTGCACACAGTTTGAGAAACAGAACTTTGTATTCATCTTACATATAATAAGGTGAGGAATCTTCCTCCAAATTTTACAAATTATATTTGTATAGTCATCGTAGCCAGTGTGCACCCTCACAAATTAAACTCTCTTGAAGGCCCCACTTCTTAATACTATTATTTTTAGGGGTTAAAGCATTCAGACAATGGCAATCCTCTAAGATCTTTATTTCCATATGATCATGTGGCATTGGAAAACCAGTATTTCTTATACACATGTTTATTCCACACGGTATTTCTATTTACAAATCATCATCTTTGGTTAAAAAGCTATTTGGAACAATGTCTTCATTAAATAAGTCTTTGTTTAATGTGCATTTCTTATCTGAACATTACAATGTCTTAGCTCTCCAGTTTGGAGAGTAGGGCGTTCTTTCTAAGAAAAGAGAAAACAAACTAGACAACATTGTGCTTTCAGCACAGTGAGGACCGTGTTGCCTTTCATCCACAGATTTCAAGTCAAGGGCGCAGCTGAAGACCCTGTCTGTGCTATGATAACAAAGAAGGGTGTTTTTTCTGAAAAATGTTATATTCATAGTTACTGGATTTGTCAAATGTGATTTCTTCAGATGATGACCTCTAAATTGATCACAGGTAACTTTCTCATTAAAAAATGTTCACAAATACTCTTTATGCATTTCTGTAAGAACACTTTGTTTCTATAATATGGTGATACTGATGATACTGATGTCAATTTGTGTCACTATAAATCCAGGCTATCAGCCTCAACTGAGTCCTTAGTTCTACCTGGTCACTCACATTATATTTCCATAGTCATGTCCCATTCATGATAGTGGCTATTTCAGACAGAAACTATTCTTTTATCACCTCAGTCATCATTAACAGAGGAGTTTGTTGTTTTTTTTTTTTTTTTCTTATTTGTTTTCTTTTTACTTTTTTTAAAGAGAAGACATAAGATGATATATTCCTGAACTTTCTACCATTGAGTCTACACATTTGTCTGCATCTTAATACTTTTTCCTCTTCTCCTGTCTCCAAAAAAGCAGTATTCCATTTTCTGTCTAAATCAAATCTCCAAGTCTACATTCAAGATTACATCCCTTTAAGTTTACCTTTCGTGTAGTGTATTTCCTTCTCTATTAGCAACTCAATACTCAAAAACAAGAAAACTTTCCCTCAACCACACGTGGTTTCTAGTTTCTGTGTTTTTGTTTCTTTTTTAACCACCTTTTATAAGTCAAACTTCCTAAAAATGTTGATGTTTCTTTTTTCCTCTTTTTACCTTCCACTTCAAGTTTTAGAATTAGGCTTCTACTTCTCCTATTATTTCACTCAAGTGTTCTCCCTATGTCACCAATGACTTTCTTCTGGCTAAATACAATGAGAACTTTCTAGCTTTCATTTTAATTATCAGGTTGCTCATTATTATTTTTTCCTTCCTTGATACTTGATTTCTTTCCTTTTTTTTTTATAGCTTATTTTTTTATTGTTGAAAGTATATTCCCTTTTTTTGTAATTTATTTTTTATTGTTGAAAGTATGTCCCTATTTTCCCCCACTGACTTATGCTTTCTTCTAGAAATATTTGCTAATCTGAGCATCTACGACACAAAACCCTGTTGAACTTCTATCTACTTTTCCAGCCATTCCTCCTCAGTCATTTTTGCAGTTTCTTTCCTCTTCTGATCTCTTAAATACAGCTGTTCCTCAGGGTTTGGTGTGCATCCTCCGTCAAACACAATCCTTGTCTGATTTATTGATAACTCCCAAACCCTTATTTCTAGCCTTGACCTCATTGCAGTGGATTGCCCATTGCACATCTCTGTTTGACCATCTCAAGGCCCCTCTGTCTTCACGTTAAAAATTAAACCCACTAACTCAGTGACAGGAGCATGCCCACACCAGTCTAAGCCAGAATCCTTGGAGTCAACCATGACTTCTTCCATTTTTTTATCCTCAGTATTCAAACAGTAATTTAAGTCCTGTCAGTTTTACTACATATTTCTGAAATTTACCTACATATCTTCATACCCACCCCATCATCCTGGATTACTGCAACAATCTTTTTGTCTGCTTCTAGTTGTCTGCCAAAATCCATTTTTCATATTGTGACACAGTAGTGACTCTCTAAACCTCGTATCAGACTACATTACTCACTACCTAATTCCTTTCACTGGCTTTTCATTGCTTAAAACTTTTTTAGTTTCTACCAGACCCTTTATGTCCTGGCTCCTCTTCCTTCCTGCTCCACTTCCATCTGTGTAACAATGCAGACACATGAAACTTTGTTCAGTTCCTCAAATGAGTCATGCTCTCTCAGTCCTCTGATCTAATCACATATTGTTTGCTTCAGCTTAACGAATATTGTTTTATTCCCTTTCTTACTTACCTTTTCGACTCTTGCTTGTTTTTCAGGTGGCTATTAAATGTCATTTGGAGGAATATACTTTCTTAACCATTCTCCACTCCAACTAAATTATATGGATTTGGTGTATGTTTTCATAGCTTCCTGTACTTGTCTAATCTTATCATTTAGTATCCTCTTTTAGGGCCATTGTTTAACTAAGTTTTTTAATGCACTGTAAGTTATGTAATGTCAATAATCCTTATCATTGTTTGAAACAATGATGTATAATGAACAAAAAATAAATAAGAAATATATTTTCCTGGTTGTTGTTTGTTTTTGTTTTTAACTTAGAACCTACATTGAGACTTGGAGCAGAAACATGGCTACATTAATTTTTGTTAATTAAATATAAGTTTACCAATGGGAAACCTACTTTAAAGCCTTCAGAGGTGGGGATCCTTTTTTCCATCAAGGGCTGTTTGGATATTTATAACATCATTTTCAGGTCACACTAAATTATCAATTTATAAATTAGTCTACTATATTTGTTCAGGCTAATTTGGTGAGGCATGTGATGTTAGCTGGTATTGATTTCGAGAGCCTTATACAGTCCTTGGGCCGGACATTCCCCACCCCTGCTGGATTCACTAAGAGTAAAACTTAAATGATATACCAGAATTACAATATGTATTTATTTTAAATACATTTGTGTGAACACAAGTATTTATACTCTATAGGACATGAAATACAAAATCTTCAATTCACTTTAAAAAATTAAACACAGCCCTGGCCGGTTTTGCTCAGTGGCCAGAGCATCGGCCCATGAACCAGAGAGTCCCAGATTTAATTCTTGCTAAGGGCATGTACCTCGGTTTCAGTTTGTCTCCAACTTGGTTGGGGTCATGTGAGTGGCAACCAGTGCATGTGTCTCTCTCACATCGATGTTTCTCTTCCTCCCTCTCTCCCTCCTGCTCTATCTGAAGAAAAAATAAATAAATAAAATAAATAAATAAAAATAAAATTTAAAAGTTAAAAAAAAATTAAACACAAGGAACACAGAACTATGTTTATTTAGTACATGCACTATTTTATTAAGGTGAACATTTAAGAAATGTGGAAAAAATGACTGGAGAGAAGTTACGATTGAAGGGGAAGAAAAAATAATGGAAGATTAAGATCTGAGGATCTCTAATATTCAAAGCCAAGTTACCAATGTTCTTTGAAACTATTTTTATTTAAACATTTAAATATTTAAACAATTAAATATTAAAACATTAAAAAGCAATTAGTCTGGCTGCATTTCTTGTTTATTTTCATTTGAGGATTGTTCAGGAAATAATAATTTCCATTAAATTCTAAAAATTGAATTTGCACATAGAGAAATATTTACCTGTAAACTTCTGATATGAGGATTCTGAAAACTGTGAATTTAATTAGTCGTGACTTAAAATCCTAATAAAAATCAAAGCTTGTCTTATCATTTCCATTATATATCTATATATGTTTATTTTTGAGACATTAGATTGCCCAAATCATTACAACTAAAGTTATTTGGAGATCACTCAGTCCTCAAAATTAAATATTTTTTAATTATATAGTGATCCTAGTTATTGGGAAGGGAGAATATAAAATAATGTAAATTAGAAGGTTTTAGTGGAAAAAGCTTCCAGAATAAATGGGACAATTGTAATTTATGGTACTTCAAAAGTTCTTATCTTTCAACTGTAGACTTCTTTTAGAACGAATGTGTGTTTATGTGATTATAAGCTTCTCTGCAATTGGGGAAATTTATGGTTTCACTGGGTAAGCGCTTTGATGACACCACTTTCAACTTCCCACTTGGACCCCATTATAGGTGCGTGTTACATCTACTCCCCACTCATACAGCTTAGATTCCTTTGCTCCTGAAGTCTTTTATGTCATTTCCTGCTCCTGTTGCTCTTGGCCCTTTTTTTGACCTTCTTTGAAAAGTTTTATACTATGTTAACTATTTTTCACCTCATCTGACACATTACCTCAAACAACCACAACAAAAAGGTGTTAACATCAAGTAGGTTAGAAGTGTGGAAATAGGAAAAAACAAGTTGCATCTGCACACTTGCCACTCCCAACACGTTTCTCTCTGATGCTGTGACATTATGTTCTCATGGTAAGGTAGGTGCACCTTAGCGAGTGATGCTCATTACAGCCTTGGATTGCTGATTTCCTGAGCAGCCAGTTCAACAGGGGGAACATGTTTGAACACCCTTGGCTAAGGAGCTTGAACTCTCCATACTTCTTTTCTTCTTGACTGTTTTGTGAGCTCCCTTTCTGCCATTATCATTATTTTCCCACTGAATTTCTTTGTTAATTCCCAGAAAACAGTTTGATTATTTCCCAAATGACAAAGACAAACAAATTATGTTCATTTTAATGGTGAAAATACACATGGGATGATATGGCAACTCAAGGGTGGTAGGCCCGAGATGCATGTTGGGCATTGCTTTGGACCAAACTAAAAGCAGAACTCCAAAAAGTTAAAAGAATCAATCAATAAACCTTTAATTGTAAATTGCTCATAAATAATAAATTACTACTCTGAGAATTTATATCCATAGATACCATATATCAATTGATTTAGCATTCCCATTTCCAAGTAAGCATCTCTTAAGTCAAATGAAGTATCATATATTTAATTTCATAAAATAATAAGATTATATTCCTGAATATCTTTTTTTCTCATTTATACTCAATTGTTTTGAACACTTTGGCTTTCCTTCTAGGCATTGTAAAAATTAACATGTGCATACTTTGTGAATACTTAATAGTATATACATTTATACCAGCTTACCTGCATATATATATATATATATATATATATATATATAAAATGCTTTAAATTATAACAAAAATTTTATTCAAACATAAAAAAGTTTTAACTCTTAAAATTGTATTTCCAGAATTTTAGAGATATGCACGTCTAGGCAGAATTATTCATTATTACCCCACAAGAGAGTTATGAGTATATTTGTGATTTTATTTTTAAAAATACCAAAAAAATCAATTGATTTCTAAAGTAATAACTTTATTTTAGCATCAGTTAATAAACATGAGATGGACACTTTAAAATCTACATTATTAAGTATGAAATAGGATTAGATACAATAAAAGCAAAGAATCATACAAAAAGATTCTTAACATTGTTGCTCTACTATGACAGAGGGCTAATACACTGAAGATATACCTTTTAAAACTGTAATGGAAAGAGCAAAGAAACAGTTATTTTCCTACTTGAGATTAGACAATATTCAGTGTAAGTAGCTTTGCAGATCCTATATTTTAGCATATTGCAGCATCTCTATCTCCTGAAAAATATGCATTACTCTTATTTAACCCTTCTGTAAATACATGTGAACTGATTTGTCTGAAGTTATACTACGGTTCTACTTATGCCCTTATAGGCACAAATTTAGCTCCATGATCAAATCATAATGCTATTAATTTAGACCTCACCTAAATTTTTTTTAATTAAGAAAAATATATATCTATCTATGAGTTTTTTAAAAAATTTTTCTTAATCCTTTTACCTTTTTCATCCAGCCCCGCAAACTCTTCCTCTCTGACAGCTGTCAGTCTGTTATGTCATAGAGAGAAAACAGTATGGTGATCACCAGAGGGAAAGGGTGGGGGTGGTCAAAGAGGGTAAAGAGAGGATAAATGGTGAATGAAGAAGATTGAACTTAGGGTGGTGAACACACAATACAGTATTCAGATGATGTGTGGTAGAATTGTGCACCTGAATCCTATATAATTTTATTAACCAATGTCACCCCAATAAATTCAGTAAAATGCAAAAAAAGACTTCATGTCAACAAAAGCGAAAGCAGTATACATGGAAAAAATTACTTTTTTGTTCAGCAAATAACTGTCTACTTTTGGCTACCATGTAACAAAAGATAATAGAATGAGACTTTACTTCTTGCCATTCTTTAATATGTGTTCTCCTGTTACAACTGTTAAAATCTCTATCAATGAGTGTACATTAAGCACCCATAGGATGCAGATTACAGATTTCACAAGAACTTTAAGAAAAAGATTATATTTTAAAAAGAGACATTGTTAATGTTAAGAATACATAAAGACAATACCTTCTGAAGAAGTATACCTTCTGATGCTGAACCTAATTTGTTTTCTCAAATAGAGAGAAACTTGAGCAGCTAAATTCAAATCAGTTCTTCACCCATCTGCACACCAAATGTTTGCTATTCATTGCCCATTATGCAATAGGTTCTTAGCATTCACAAACAGAACACTGCTAGTTCAAGACTATTTGCTCATTCATAACTTAGAAGGCCCCTCACATGATGGTCTGAATGTGAAATCTTATTGCTTTACTTTTTTGTAGTGAGGTTGATATGTAAAAGAGATTTATTTATCTAGTATATTAACAAATTTAAACACTATTATTGTGTTTGAACTACACTGAATTCATAAGTGAATCTCACAAAGTAATGCAAATATTGCGAAACTAAAATAACCAATGGTTAATTGATAATAAAAGTAATATCAGAGTTCTTTAAAAAAACAAGAAATTTCAAGTGACATTGTCTTAAAATTTCATTTAAACTGTTCATTCATATTTTAACGTATTATATATCAGAAATTTTATTCTATAAAATTTGCAAACTATTGAATATGTTGAGGCGTATACTTCTTGAATGCCAAGAATCTAATAAATTTATAAAAAACTAATTTATAGATTTGGAGTGAAACATAATAAAAATTTCTAAACATGAATTATATACTTTTCAATTAATAGAGCCTATTTATTTTAAGAGAAATAAAACTATATTTTATGCAAAATATCTTAGGTCTATGATGTCTTAACTTCTTGAAATACATGTGTCCATTTTGCTGCAAATCCATTTTCTAACCAAATGAGTGCTGGAACTGCTAATCCCAAATTTGTGAAGATAGGCACATTCTCCAATTCCAATTACCTTGAACCTGGAAATCAGAAAAGAAGAAAATGGCTACAGAATGAGTGAATACTTATTGGAAGAGAAAAAATTTTACTCTGTTGTGTGCTTTTACTCTAACCCCAACACCATATTATTTTAATATAAAGCAAACTGAATTCATATGCCTTACCTGGCCAAAAAAATGACCTAGATGATGAAAAAGTGCAGGATTTACTGTCAAATACATTTTAAGTATGTGTTGCAAGATTCTTATTATTCAACATCTTTGAACATCAATTTTTAAAATCTAAAATGGAGATAAATACTCTCACCTCCCATACTTGTTGTGAAGGTCAAATAATAAGATTATGAAGCACTGCGTTTAAAATATTATAGGTATTAAATAACTTGCATAATCATTTGTATTGCCACATTTTCTCCAGGTTCAGTTTATTCTGGACCACAAAGAAAGCTTCCAGAATGGTGTGTACAAATTATAACTCAGAATTCCAGCCTCAGTGTGTAAATTCCATACCCAGGACTTACCAATCACTGTATGTGGTTCCATCTATCCACTTCCAGGTCTGTCCTGGCTTTCGGCTCAGTCCAATCCAATATTGAGAATGGTGAGAATATCGCTTCAGGAAATCCTTTGATAAAAAATATTTACAGGATGAACAGCAAATGCCTCATTCCCTCGGATTGTCTTCCATTCAATTCATTATACTCTTTTTAAAAAATGTATCTTTATTGTTGAAAGTATTATAGATATCTCCTCTTTTTACCCTCATTGACCTCTTACTCCTTGTCCCCACCCTGCCTTCACCACACTGTTTTATGTGTTCATTGTTTTTGCATATATGCATATGAGTTCTTTGGTTTATCTCTTCTCACCCTCTCTCCCCCTTCCCTCTGAGGTTCGTCAGGCTGTTCTCTGTTTCCAGGTCTCTTGATCTATTTTGTTTGTCCAATTATTTTGTTCATTAGATTCCACATATAAGCGAGATCTTGTTATACTTGTCTTTCTCTTATTTCACTTAGCATAACACTCTCGAGGTCCCTCCATGCTGTCTTAAAGGGTAAGAGATCTTTCTTTTTTACAGCTGCATAGTATTCCATTGTGTAAATGTACCACAGCTTTTGCTTTTTTATTCACTCATCTACTGATGAACACTATCTGGAAACAGCCCAATTTATTGTACTCTTTATAGAAATACAGACTTCCAGAAATGGAAATAATCTCAGAGGTGACATTGTCCTTATCTGGTTCATGGGTTAGTTTATGGGTTTATTACTTCTGTAACAACTTCTGTAGTAAACTGCATTGGGTAGTTTCTTCTCTTTTCTATTTTCTAAAGGAGTTTTATGTAAGAGAAATATTATCTATTATCTATTCTGGAAAGGCTTGGTCAAATTTGCCAGTAAATAATTCTAGGTTTTATGCCTTTTATGACAGGAGAATTTTGGTTAGTCATAAAATATATTGAATAGTTATTGGTTTATTCAAGTTTTATATATGTTTATAATTTATTCTGATACATTATATTTTATGACAACATTACCAGTAACCTAACTTTTTTGTTCTATTTGGTTTGGATTTGGTCAATAGTTTTTTTTGCATATCTTTTCCTTTCACTTTATCTTTACTTTTGTGCGTGTGTGTGCATGCACACGCACATATGTGTCTATATACTTAGCTATGTCTATGTAAATAGCACTAACTGGACTTTTGTTGGTTTTTAAAAATCAATCTGATATATTTTTCCTTTAAGAGATAAATTAAAAACCTTTACATTTTATCACAATTGTTATATTTGAACTTATCAATTTTGCATTTTGCATTTTTTTCTTTACCTTTTATGAATTCTTTTGGATTAATGCTTTTCTTTTTTAATTACAAAATGATATTTTTTAAACTTTTATGCAATAACACTAAGAGAAAAATTCTATTTTGATTGATACTTTTTTCTGTCTTTATTTGAACAATTTCATTTACGTGAACTTCTTTTTTTAACTTTCATGCTTACCATTTAATTTTTGAGAAATATCAGTCTAGCCCTGGCCAGTTTGACTCAGCGGTTAGAGCATCGGCCTGCGGTCCGGAGAGACCCGGGTTCGGTTCCCGCTAAGGGCACGTACTTCGGTTGCAGTTTGTCCCCGGCCCTGGTTGGTCGTGCGGGTGGCAGCCACTCGATGTGTCCCTTCACGTCGATGTTTCTCTCTCTCTCTCCCTTCCTCTCTCTCCCTCCCACTCTATCTGTACAAAAAATGGAAAAATATCCTCAGGTGAGGATAAAAAAAAAAAAGAGAGAAATATCAGTCTACACATATTCCAAATTTAGGATGTCTAAATAATTTTTTAAATAATTGTTTAGACATTATTTGTTTTTTCAAAGTTTTAAAATTTATTGGTACAAAATTATTTATAATGTTTTATGCTTTTAAATTACCCGTTTGTATTACGGTGAGTATATCTTGTCTCCTTTTCTGTGATCAGTCCTGTCTATTGAGAAAAATAGCTTTGCCTTTCTATATCTTCACTGATTAGTTCGTTGTACTCTTTGTTTTTCTATATTTTCTCTTAATACTTTTTATTTTTTATTTAAATTTTTTTTTTTTATTAATTTTATAGAGAGAGGAAAGGAGTAGGAGAGAGAAATAGAAACATCAATGAGCGAGAACATCTATCAGTCACCTTCTGCGTGCCCCACACCAGAGATTTGACCCACAACGTGGGCATGTGCCCTGACCGGGAATTGAACAGGTGACCTCTTGGTGCATGGCTTGACACTCAACCACTGAGCCACACTCACTGGGCTCTCTTATGTTTTTTAAACTATTTATGTTCTTTGTTCAGTTTTTATATTGATCTGATACTTTCCCATTTTTCCCTACTTTATTTTCATAATTTACTATTCTAATGAATGACATGCTCATTTTAAAATCTTTATCAGAATGTTCTTCAAAATTAATTTCAACTTAGGTCAATCTCTCTTCTGTCTATTCTTCATAAAGTAAGTGTCCAATAAATGTTAAAGATATCCCTACAGTCCTTTATATCTTAACTTTTCTGTTTCTTACCACATGACATTCTACATCTCTAATACTTCTGGTTTGGGGGCAGTTTGTATTGCACACTTTTAAGTTTCTTCATGTACCTGCTCTGTGCCTTAAAGCTCCCAGATATTCCTAATTATGTTACTCATATTAATATTCTTTCCTGGGTTTTTGACAAATGGTTTGTTATGACTCTTTACTTACTATTTTTAAAATATAGTCCTACAAAAGGCACATTTAATTTGGTGTGAAATAGGTGAACAAAATAGGTAGGTGATCCTTATGTGAGCTGCTTGTTATGGTCTGAATTGATGGGTAAGAAGATCTTTTCTGGACCATCCCCATTTCCAGTGTACACTCTTCATACCAGCTATAACCTCTGAAAGATAATTATAGTTGAAAAGTATCGCCTTACCAGTTCCTTTGTGGTGTTGAATACAGCAAGAGTTGCTTCGTGAGAGACACAGAAGTTATGGCTTGCTGCCCAGGTTGTTGTGTTTTCAGAAAAATAAAAACACTTTCCTAGGTAACCGATCCAGTCTTCCAGGCATGATTTGTGTTCAGTGGAAGGTTTGTATTTTTCTACAAAAAAACAATTTCATAACATTAAGTAGTGAGGGAGTGAAAAGCCTTGAATTTAAAACAATTATCCAGCCCTGGCTAGTTTGGCTCAGCAGATAGAGTGTTGGCCTGTGGTCCGGAGAGACCTGGGTTTGGGTCCCACTAAGGTCATGTACCTTGGTTGCAGTTTGTCCCTGGCCCTGGTTGGGTCGTGTAGGTGGCAGCCACTTGATGTGTCCCTTTCACGTCAATGTTTCTCTCTCTCTCTCCCACTCTCTCCCTCCTACTCTATCTGAACGAAAAAATGGAAAAATGTCCTCAGGTGAGGATAAAAAAAACAAAGAAAAACAATTGTTCATGTGAATAAACTCAACCAGAATTGCTTTGTTTTTTCCATCTGAAAGACTTCATCAATCACATCTTATATTGTTCCCTAAGTGAGAACAACACCCAGTTTTTTGTATTTATTTTCTTACTAGGTTGAAAGAAATTTTTGATGAATCTCCTCAGGTAGTAGTTACTGCTCACATTCAAGGCTTGGTGTTCTTCTCAGGCGACACACTACTCCTAGGTGATCACACTCATCTCATAACATTGCATAGATTTATATATATACAGTCTGGCCACTGTGGCTCAGGGTCGACCCATGCACTAAAAGGTCGCCGGTTTGATTACCAGTCAGGACACATGCCCAGGTTGTGGGCCAATCCCCAGTGGGGGGCATGCAGCAGGCAGCCAGTCGAAGTTCTCTCTCATTGATGTCTCTATCCCTCTCTCCCTCTCACTTCCTCTCTCTCTAAAAAAATCAATAAAGAAAAAAAACTTAAAAAAATATATACACATATGTATGTATGTATATAGGCACATAGTATATGTAAATATATACATTTATATACATATGTACACATATAAAATTATATATATATATTTATATATATTTGAATGTCTAGTTCATAGAATAAGATTGATTAATGATCTATATGTCATATAAACTTATTTAGACATGCATATGTTCACATATATGCATACATGTATATAGACTGTTTCAATGTATTACTTTATACATGTAGGTATATATATTAAATGCATATTTTAATACATATATTCATGTATACATCATATACACATTTATATATGCATATCTATATCATATATACTTATGTATGTATTTTCAAACATCTCATTAAAATTATTTTGTTATTTATGGAATATATGTCCATAGTTCACTATCATAAAGGGGAGATGTGTTTTGCTGCTTTTTGACTCTAAAAGTAACCTATATTATGTGTAAAAAAAGGTGGTTATTAAGATAACAATTTTTTTCTTGACCAATTCTTTTCTTTTTTTAATCCTCACCTGAGGATATTTTTGTATTTATCTCCAGACAGAGTGGGAGGGAGAGAGAGAGAGAGAAACATCAATGTGAGAGAGACACATCAATTGGTTGCCACCTGCACCACCCCAACCAGGGTCGGTGACAAATAGCAACCAAGGTTTGTGCCCTTGGTTGGAACTGAACCTGGGACTCTTTGGTCCGTGGGCCAACGCCCTAACCGCTGAGCCAAACCAGCCAGGGCATCTTGACCAATTCTTTATAACCTATATGTTTAGCTGTGAATTATGAATAGGACTTGGAAATCTGGCCCCATCATTTTAAGCTGCATAACCAGATAGAAAGATTATGTTTTGCATCATGAACTCAACATTTATCTTTATAAACATGGACTTCCATAAAAACAGCTTAGAAAAAAAAATACTACCCATTATATAAAAACATGGTTTAGGGCAAGGTAGTTCACAACTAGATAATCTTCCACAAGCTGTTTGCTATCAGTCACAGTGAGGTAAGGACCTTGAGACACATTGTTAACTAAGTCACCAAATACACTGTTTAGTTCTTTTGATATTTCTTCAAAATGATACTTTCTTGATGAAGGAAGCAGTGTGATGATTTACATATTTACTACAAACTCCTTACCTTGTAAAGACTAATGCTGGGTTTGAAGGAAATTTCATATATATTAAGTTATATTTATCCTTACAGTATTTAATGTAGCTATTACCCTCATGTTACAGAAGAGGAAACATGTGCTTACTGTGTGTACACCAGGATGTCTAAAATGACACCTAATCCAGAGCTAAAGTATGAAAGACACAGATATGATGAAATATTTTATAAGAGAGTTAACATTTAGGAAATGGAAAACTCACCTGCTAAAATTGTGGTCAGTGTAATTATTAGAATCACCAGAAAGAAGGTGATGATTGTGATGATTTTAGTTGTACGAAGTCTCTTTTTATTCTTTTTTGGATGTTCTGGTGACTGTACAGTAAGGTTGGAAGAAGTATTATAACCTATAAAAAATAAAAAATTCTTCATTACTAATAAGTGAGTTTAGCATGTTGTAGGATTCAAGATCAATATATACAAACTAATCAGATTTTATATACTATCAATTATCAATAGAAAATTAAAATATAACATACCATTTACAATAGCATAAAAATATTAAATACTCATAGATAAATCTGACCAAAGTCATGCAAACTTTGTACACTGAAGATTACATTGCTGAAAAAGTTGTAGACATAAATAAACAGATATTCTGTTTCATAAGTCAGAAGATAGAATATTGTTAAGAGGTCAATTCTATACAAATTAACATATAGATTCATTATAATCCGAAACAAAATTCTGAGCATGCTATTTTCTTTTGTAAAAATTGGCAAACTATTTATAAAATTTATTTTAAAATGCAAAGGCGCTAGAATAGCCAGAACTGTGAACTAAGTTGGAGGATGAGCATTACCCGATTTAAAGACATATTATAAAGCTGCAGTTGTCAATGCAGCAGGGTATTGTGTAAAATTAGACAAGTGGCCTAGAATACATCCATACTAAATTTTTGGCAAAGACACAAGAAAGGATAGTCACTTTGATAAATGGTTCCAAAATAATTGGATATCCATAAGCAGAAATATTTTGATCCATATCATATCCCATATACAAAAGTTAATTAAAAATGGACCATAGGCCCTGGCCAGTTTGGCTCAGCGGTTAGAGCGTCGGCCTGCGGTCCAGAGAGACCCGGGTTCGGTTCCTGCTAAGGGCACGTACTTTGGTTGCAGTTTGTCCCCGGCCCTGGTTGGTCGTGCGGGTGGCAGCCACTCGATGTGTCCCTTCACGTCGATGTTTCTCTCTCTCTCTCCCTCCCACTCTATCTGTACAAAAAATGGAAAAAAAAAAAAATTAAAAAAAAAAAATAGACCATAGAAGTGAATGTAATACCTAAAACTATAAAACAAAGATTTCCTCAACCTAATCCAAAAAGTATAATTCATTAAATAGTAATAAACTGGACTTCCTAAAAAAACAAATAATATCTGCTTTTCAAAAGGTAGTGTTAACAAAATGAAAAGACAAACCAGAGACTGGGAGAAAAATATTTGTAAAGCAAATGTCTGATAAAGGACTTGTGTCCAGAATATGTAAAGAACTCTCAACACTTAATAAGAAATCAAACAATACAATAAAAAATCTGAGCAAAAATGTTTGACACTTCCTGAAATAAGACATACAGAATGCAAATGGAACATAAAAGGATGCTCATCATGCTAGTCATAAAGAAAATTAAAACCAAATTTAGAAACCACTACAAACCTATTACAATGACGAAAATTAAAATGTCTGACTACATCGATCATTGGGGAAAATATGAAAGAACTAGAAATCTCATCCATTGTTGGTAGAAATGTAAAATGACATGAATATTTTGAGAAGCAGTGTGAATGTTCCTTTAAAAAACTAAATATAGCCTGGCTGGTGTGGCTCAGTGACTGAATGTTGACCCATGCACCAAGAGGTCGCCAGTTCGATTCCTAGTCAGGACATATGCCCAAATTGCAGGCCCGATCCCCAGTGTGGGGCATGCAGGAGGTGGCCAATCACTGTTCTCTCTCATTGATGTTTCTCTCTCTCTCTCTCTCTTAAAAAAAATCAACAAACAAAAAACCTAAATATATACTTCCTGTATGATTCATCCATCCTACTCATAGGTACTTCCCCAAGAAAAATGGAAGCCTATTTCCATACAAAGACTGGTACACAAAATTTTATAACAGCTTTATTTGTAATAATCCTGAACTGGAAACAATCCAAATGCTCATGAATGGGTGAATGCATAAATAGGCTGTGGTACATCTATATGAGGGAATACTAGTCAGGAAAATAAAGGAAGGAATGAACTATTGAGGTCTACAAAACATGGATCAATGTTAAAATAACTATATTGAACAGAAGCTGAACCAAAATGAGTACATCCTATATGATTCCATCTATTGTAAAATTTCAGAAAATACAAATCTACCAATAGTGACACAAAGCTGACTTTTGGTTATCTCAAAGAAGGACATGTTGAAAGTGGTGCTGATGGATATGTTCATTATTTTGAACATAAATAATGTAGATGTGTCATACATGTCAAAATTTTAAATTATACACTTTATATATGTGCATTTTATGCATGTCTGTTTTATCTTAATGTATGTCAGTTTTATCCATTTGTTAAAATGGTACAAAGATCAGTTACCTTTTATTCACACAGTGTGGACTGTTATAAGATACCTTGGAAAGCTGAAAATAATTTGACACAGAGAAGAGACGAAGAGCACAGACACAGTCATTCCCCAGGAGGGTATAGATTAGTAGGTGGCAGGGACTGACCACGTGTAAGTCTGCTGACATCACAAACCACATCTAGAGCCTGTTATACAAATACTTCTCACCTGAGGAGTTGGAATCTCCTATGCTTGTCAAGTTTACGTTATCATCCATTTCTCCTTTTGAGTAAAAAAATACAGAAGGGTCAGAGTGAACACACTGGATTCAAGGTCTCTGCTCACTCCCTGGGTTTATCTTCAATAATACAAAGAAAGACAATTAAAAATAGAATACAATGTTAAGACCATCTAAAGTGAAAATACAACATTAATATACAAAATATGACAAAAGTTCCTAAGAAATCTGATAACTCATATAGCCCTTTCCCTTTTGGCACATTGCCATTCAAAAATCATTCTATCTAACTGCAGTTTGAGAAGTCACTGAAGGTAGTTTAGATTCTGAAATAATTCTTCTAACTGTTGGAAGTGAGATTTGGTGGTTTATGAAGCCAGTAGTTTGAGTCTTAGCAGCATCACCCTGACCTACCAAAATATTTAGTTAATTTTAACCATTCTGGATCCCAGCCACAGATCCAATTATAAAAAATTTGAAGATGAAATGGAAACTTAGAGTCCAGCAGGTGATGGGCCTCGGTTCTGCTGACGGAATCCTCAGGCACTTGCCGTAGACTGATCAGCAGGTTTCACTGTCCTCTTAAGGGTGATATGCAGAGGATTGTTCTGGCTGGCGGTCACTCCCCAGGCACGTTGGCTGTCGTGTGGCAGGTGAGCAGCCTTCACCCAAGAATGGTGGATCCAGAGATGCAACCCTGAGAGTTGTGGAAGTGATTAGTATAACTAAATAGGGCCCTTTCCAAGTTGGTTTGAGAGGTTCCCTTCTCCAGTCTTTTATCTAGACTTGTTCTCTGGTCTGCGAGGGTGTAGTTACTCCCAGGGAAATGGGTATTCTATCGGTTACTCACTTATGTAACTCAAGAATGGTTTTCCCTAGTCCTTGTAGTTGTTTTTTGATTTCCAGATATCCTAGTTCTTGTATGCCTCCTTTGAATTTGATTAGTGGGGGTGGTCTCCTGTATAAGATTTCAAAAGGGAAGAACCCTATTTTTGCCCTAGGGATACAACATACTTGCAGGAGAGCTAGGGGCAGTCTATCAGTCCAGGGCAGGTTGGTTTCTTGACATAGTTTTGCCAAGGTCTGCTTAAGGGGCTGATTCAAGTGTTCTACTTTCCCTGAGCTCAGGGGCTGGTAGGTCGTGTGCAAATTCTACTGGATGCCTAGAGTTTTAGCTACTGCTGTACTATTTCTGCTACGAGGACGAGGCCATTGTCTGACCCTGCAGCCAATGGCGTTCCATATCTCAGGATGATGTCTCTCAGCAGAGCTTTGGTTACTTCTCTTGCCTCTTCTGTATGTCTGGGGTAAGCTTCAACCCAGCCTGAGAAAGTACAGATGAAAGCCAGGATATATTTATTTCCTCTCCTGGGTCCTATTTCCGAGAAGTCTACCTCTAGATCTTCAAAGGATGCTTGGCCGCAGCGCTGGATCCCAGTGGGCCTGGTGGGGCCTTGCCTGGCATTGTTTTGAGCACAGAGGTGACAGTGTTGGGAGACTGAGGCACAGAGGGATGGAAATCGAGCAATCAGGTAGTACCGGCTTAGTAAGGCTTCTAGGGTGGTTTTTCCCAGATGGGTGAGTTCATGTTGTTGGAGGACTAAATGATGGGGTCATTGTTCTGGCACATAGATTCTGTGGTCTGGGAGGATCCACCATCCTTCCTTCATTATATTTTCCCCCTCCTGTTGTGCCCATTCTTCTTCCTGGGCCATGTGCAGTTCGAGGAGGAGAACTGGACATCATCCCCACAGCTCCCAGAGCAGTCGCCCCAGGATCCCCAAGGACCCCAGCCATCAGCCTGTGGGATCTTAAAGTCCTGAAGCTGGTCCACATGGAGACAGCGGCCACCCATGCAGGCCTGTGAGGGCCCACACGGGGTGCCATCGGCCCACGGTGAATGCTTGGTCTGGCACATGGCATGACCACTGAGATGCCCAGAGCACCAGAGGGCAGCACGGGGTGTGGCAGTTGTGGACAGTGGTATGAGTTGGACCCGAAGGTCAGCTGGCACTGGTGTTCTGTGTCATAGTCTTCAACAGGGAAAGTCACAGGCAGGTGCAGGGGAGTCTCTGGCTTGTCTAAGACACAGTGCCATAGCCATTGTACGCAGGCAGTGCAGGGGGACAAGGTCTCCTCAGGACCCATGTGAGCCATCACAGGAGCCATAACATGATGAGAGGTGCTCCCAGGCCCATTCAGACCGACACATGGAGCACAGCTCCGAGCCGGGTCACACACAGTGACCACATCAGCTGTGCCCAGGGTGTCACAGGTAGAGACCCCACACATGTCCTGACAGATAAACAGCAAAGTGATCTGGGTCTGAGTCCTCAGGGGTGTTGAGTCCTTGCTGCCAGGCACAGAAGCTTTGCAGGGTCTGGGCAGTGCTGGGTCCCACCTGGGACCCTTCCTTTCCTGGCCTTAGAACCACTAGTCAAGTCACCACCAAGCTGACAGGGTTGTAGATGCTCAGATGCTTGAAGGCCTTGACTGCAGCAGCATGACTGTGAGCAGTACCGCTTCAGCCCTGTGCTGTGAAATGCTGCCATCTTGTCATCTGCCACCACCAGGGTCTCCACAAATCCACTCAGGGAAGCAAAGCACTTGGCTCTTTGGGGGCTAGGCCTGGGGTTCCCGGGAGGAGTCTTGATGATACACATAGGGTTCTGGCTGCTGGTGGGACTCCTCCGGCGTAGGATGTGAGCTCCAGGACCCCCTGCAGAATTAGGGGTGTTGCCCTCCAGGAACTGGGTGTGGAGTTTGGTCCCTCAATACTGCAGCACACCTAACAGGGTTCCCTTGTAGGTGCCCGGCTCCGCTCCACCCTCCCAGCAGCTCAGGCACCTGGCCCAGGTACTGCACTGTCAGCCCCTCGATCCGCACACCCAGGTCTTGCTCCAGCTCTAGCAGCAGTGTCTCCCTAAAGGCAAGAACCATAGTACCACAGCCTAGCAGGGATGTCCAAACCAGGCAGGATGCTGCATTGAGTTTCTCCTGGGGAAGGGGGCCGGCCAGCCTGCTGCAACTGGGTCAATTTGTAAGCTACTGGTCTCTGCCAAGGCCCAAATTCCTGAGTTAGGACTCCCAGGGTTATTCCGTTGATTTCGTGCACAAAAAGGTTGAAGTTCCATGATATGTTCAGGAGTCTTAAGGCTGGTGCCTCTGTGAGCTTGGTCTTTATATTGTAAATGCTTTCTCTTGACTGGGGCGCCAGGCAAGGGGCACCTTTTCTTCTCCTTTCAGGTCCTCATATAAGGGTTCTGCCAGTTCTAAAAATCTGGGTATCCATATTCGACAGAATTCCTGCTGCTCCCAGGAATTCTTTTTTTTAATCCTCACCCGAGGACACTTTTCCATATTTTGTTCAGATAGAGTGGGAGGGAGAGAGACAGAGAGACATCATCGTGAAAGGGACACATCGAGTGGTTGCCACCCACATAACCCCAACCTGGATGGGGACAAACTGCAACTGAGGTACGTGCCCTTAGCGGGAACCGAACCTGGGTCTCTCTAGACTGCAGGCCAACGCTCTAACTGCTGAGCCAAACTGGCCAGGGCCCCAGGAATTCTTGAATCTGTCGACAGGAAGTGAGAACCAGAATAGTGCAGACTGCCTGTTTCCCTTTGGCCCCTAGCATTCATTTGCCTTGGGTGATCTTGAAACCTAAGTCTGGCTGGTAGTGGCTTGGTAGAGTAGAAGTTCCTGCTTTTCTTCACTGGTGGTTGGGGCACTCATTTTTCCACCTCCTGCGTGCCCCACCACTGGGGACTGGGCCCACAACCTAGGCATGTGCCCTGACTAGGAATTGAACTGGTTACCTCTTGGTGCATAGGTCGACACTCAACCAGTGAGCCACACTGGCCGGGCTGAGGCCAGCAGCAGGAGAAGCAGCCACACCAGCCCAGGGAAAGTCACAGTGGGAGCAGCAGATGGGGTTGGGCTCCCCACAGCCAGCTGCCCACCCAGCCCCTCCTGGGATGTGGGTCTGGCTGGGTTATGGCAGGGTGGTGAAGCTGGGAGGGACTGAGGCCATCTGGGCACCACGTCCTTCACACCCTGGCTTTGTGGAAAGCTCCTCTCTGCAGCCTGGGGCTCGGACTAGTACCAGGCTCAGAGGCAGAGTTTCAGAGGGACTGGGGACCTTCAGACAAGATGAAGAAAACTTACCCTTTGGCTTGGGAGAAGTGCCTAGTGGCCTGGCTCCTGCAAACCTTCCTCTCCTGTGTCTGTGTCTTTGTCTCTCCCTGCCTCTATCTTCTGTAGCTTCTCTGGCCTCTCTCTGTCCTCCTTAAACTCTGGTTTCACCTCTGTGCCTTTGTCTGTTTCTCTCCTGCCCTCCCCGTCTCTGTGTCTACGGGTCTCCCTGAGGGTTCCTCATCAAGTAAGGCCTCTCATGCCCAGGGTTCTATAGATGTCCAGCTGGTACCTGGGTTGGGAGTCACTTTCTTGCTTCTATTACAATCTGCTACAGTTGACCCAGATGGGGTGATGAATCTGGAAGACTACTCCCTCATCTTGTAGGGTGCTGTCAAGGCCCATTCCCTGTGGACCCCTTGTCTCCTGTAACAGTAATTGCATTGCTGCTGGTGGTTTTGGTCCCTGGGTCGCTAAACTGAGACATCTTCCCACTGGCTTTGGCAACCCTGGCTCCGGCGACCCTGGTTCTGGTGGTGCAGTGGCCGGTTGTGGGGGTGAAACAGATAGAGGTGGGCTGTCAGGCAGGTGAGGTTCCCCATCCTTAGGTAGTGGGGTGTATGGCAGTGGCAGTGGAGGGGCCTCTTCCAAATCCCCTTGTAATATAGGAGGCTGCTTAATTCATTGTGAAGTCTTCCTTTAACCTGTGCCACAAGGACCTTATACTGTCCCTAACTAATAACACAGAATCGGACACAAGGAGGCCTGATTTGGATTATTTCCAACCACTCGTCCATGTAGGGAAATTGGTGGGAATCCTGGAGTCTCTGGTGACTACCCTATACATGGCCTGGACTGTGCAGACATCAAGGGTGCCTTCAGAGGGCTATTCCACACCAAA